ATGTTATCATACATTCATACATAGAAAACATCATATAAACATTTGTTGAAAATTTCAAAAAACTACAAACAATTATATTATTATATGTTTTTACTGTGAATAGTTTCCTACGTTTAATGATTATTGTTTGATAATTATTATATAATTATTAATTTTATTATTATTATCTATAGCTTGTACTATTTACGCATTAATTATTCGAAATATTTTTATATTAACGTTTAAAAATATATGTTCAACCATTTTTATGAGGTTGTGAGTAATTATATTGYGGTCTGAGGATTTTTTTTCCTAGGTCGTTCGTCGGGGATTTTTTTTCCGCAATTCCTATTTATTATGTTGTAATGTAATATTGTAATAGGCAATAGCTCTAACCAAAGTTGGAAACTTGGAAACACTAATAAATAGAAAATTCAACAAGATCCGGTATTTGCCRAGGTATGGTATTTTAGATATAACTAGTAGTTAACTACTGAGGTGTGTTATTTTTGGTAATGGTACTTGTTTGTTATTGCCCCGCCACTCGTCAGTACACCGTATAAAATGTATCATCCCACCACTCGTGTTTGTTATCGCCCCGCCAAGAATAAAATAAGCAATACAAATGAAAATCATATTATATTGAATTATAAATTAAACAATAATATTTCAAATTTTAATATTATTTTACACATAAAATTTWAATTAAAAATATGTATTAAAATTGCCGTTCTAATAACCGAAATATCGAATAACCGGTAATACCATAGATACCGGGATCAAAATTTGAAATACCTCCAGCCTTGCCCTGCGGAAACGGCGTGCGTCCATTTAGCCCATAGATATTATAWTAMTACAATATTATTAGAGCTYTTTAAAGGGCTCTCTTTTATTAGTGCCTTACGCCCTTACTATTATATTCTTATAATATCTATGCGTGCGCCAAATGCCAATACTMGCCATTGCTCGGGAAATGGGAACAAATCAACAACTACAAAGTAGGGAAAAATATTTATTGGAACAAATGGTTAATTCCGAAATTGTCACTTGTACATTTGTTCCAATGAACTTTTTTGCAAACCATATCAGCTGTTCCGATATATTTTGTTGAAATCCAATAATCATTTATTCCAATGATATTTGTTCCATTGGATATATGCTACAAAAACATTTGTTCCAATGTTCTCTTTATCAAATTAAATTTGTTCCAATAAATATTTATTCCAATAAGTTTTTGGAACAAAAGTTTTTGGAACAAATGTCTATTGGAACGAATAATTGTGGAACATGTAATACAGTCCCGTTACCAGAATGATGGGATTTTTACTTTTCCATGTCGGGATGATTATTAATTTTTTTGTTCTATTGCGCAACACTGCATTGTCAGCTCGACGCTACAACTACAACACTGTAGCTGTAGTTCTATGCTACAACTTTACTAACATACAGTCTGTTAGTTGTGTATTTTTATGCTTATATTTCTGTGGTAGGTTTACTGCACTGACTGATTAAAATTGTATTCAGCGGTCCGTCTTATCAAAATGAATCCGACTAATCCGAGAGCGAGACCGAGTTCCAAAAATCCAAACCCAAACGTCCCAAACCTCTCCCGTCGCTGTTKGGCAAACTGACTACAAGACGTGTTGTTTGGACTGCGCTCTACGGTTCATCGTATATTTACATAATACATTATATACATATTTATTGTAATATTAACTAATAACTATAAATTTCGAATCGCGGCGCTAGTTGTGGTGAACTCGTCTGTTCGGTCTCGAATTTTTGTTGCCCGTTTCCACGCTGTTGCTTGTGACTTTGTGAGTTGCGATCGACAATTGCGCCGGGTGCAATAGCTCCACTTGTAAGTTCTGGTCGGCAGTTGTTTGTTTTATTTGTTTGCACATTTGCTGTTACTCAAAAACTATAAGCATCTAAAGTACAACACTACCTACAACCTCCGATCGTCATTATTCCGATTATTGAAGCTTCATTCTAGCGCCATTTCGAAGGTATCGATTTATTAATCGTCACGAAATTTATTATAATTATTTTTAGTGCATATCCATCAGCGTGATCGTACAATGAGTGTATCGGTAAGCGTTTAACTTTTCTCATCATATTATTACGTTTTTATTGCTCATTTGTGTGATTTTGAATAGGGAGAAAATGCTGTGGATGTTGAAGAACCGGAACAATTTAGGAAATTATTCATTGGTGGACTTAACTACACAACTACAAATGATTCGTTAAAAGAATTTTTCGAAAAGTGGGGCGACATTGTCGATGTAGTTGTTATGAAAGATCCTGTCACTAAAAGGTTACTCTAAAAGCATTATATTTTTAAACATCATACAAGATCAATTTACTTAAAATGTGTTCTCAAAATATACATAGTTTAGCTTAAATTATTTCTTTACCAGCTTTTATAATAAGATTAAGCATAACATAAATATTTAAGAATAATAGACAAAATTATTTTGTAGGTTAGCATTATTTGTAATTGAATTTTCTGATTAGATGATCGATTGAATTTTAATTGATCACTTTTAATTCTTTGATTTTAATTTGTTAGGTATTTTTTGATCAGTTTTAAGTATATTATAGTGAATATTAATTATTATTACTTATAAATATAATGGCTTATATCCCGGCTTATATATTGTAATATTTACAGTTTTTTTTTTAGAATCATAAATAGATAAATCAATTAAAAAATAAATGTTTTATGAATTAATCAATGTTATTTTTGTCAGTTTTAGCCAACTATATTTTATTATATTAACTATTGCTTATAAGTCTATGCACTTCATAAATGCTTTAAGTCAGCAACTGTGCTGAAAATATTAAAATATCCGTTGAAAAGTTATGAATTATGAATTAAATATAAAAAAGGAAAGTAACAGAAACTCATTTGATTAATTTATTAAAAAACTTAATCTTATCCTAATGTTTTTGGATACAAACAATTTTTAAATTCATGTGTTTTATAATTATTTTTATTATTAATAACTTGACTTTTATTTTCTTCAATTTAATATAATTAGGTCTAAAAATGCTCTTAAAATAAAAAAATATGCCAAAAACCATATGCAATAAAATGCTTATAATAAGATATTCCTTATATCATTTAAAACTTATTTTATATTTTAGATCACGGGGATTCGGTTTTATTACATACTCAAAAGCTTCAATGGTAGATGATGCTATGGCCAATAGACCGCATAAAATTGATGGCCGTGAAGTAGAAACAAAACGTGCTGTACCGCGTGAYGTAAATATTATATGAATTTTATTAACATATTTTATGATTTATTTCACAATGTTGTGATTATAGGACATAGATAAACCTGATATAGCATGGACTGTAAAAAAAATGTTTGTTTCTGGAATTAAAGAACAACCCGAAGAAGACATAAAAGAATATTTTGGACAGTATGGAAATATACTTAATATTCAAATTATTGCAGACAAAGAAACCGGACAACGTAAAGGCTTTGGATTTATTGAATTTGATGATTCAGATTCAGTTGATAAAGCTGTTTGTATGTTTTTTGTCTTTTTGTTTTTAAAATTTTTTTTATGTTTTATTTATTACATTTTTCAGTAATCAAAAGTCATGAAGTTACTGGATCTAAATTAGAAGTTAAAAAAGCTGTCAGTAAAGATGTAGCATCAGCTTCCAGAGGTCGTAGAGGTGGACGTGGTGGAAGAGGACAAAGTTGGGGAGGACCAAATAATAATTGGGGAGGTAAGTCTAATTTATTTTAATGTGTACAATATGTAAATACATTTAAAATTATAACTTATGAAGTTGCATTTAAGAAACAATGTAGGTATTAGTTTAAATGTATAATGTTATAATAATATGTTTAGGTGACAAATTATTGTTTGGAATACAATTTTAGGCTGATAAGAATACATAGAATAGATAGTTTTATTTATATTAATAATTTTAAATACTTTTTTTCTATATCAAAGTTAATTATTAAATATATTTTTATTGTAGAATGCTCATTTCATTGTGTTGTGTGTCGCTTAAAATTTAAAACCATGTAAACATTTTTTTTAATTTTACATTTATTGATCAATTTATTTTCAGGTAACCATTTTGGGGGATATGGAGGCGGTAGTGGTGGTTGGGCTCAAGGTGGTCCTCAAGGTTGGAATAATGTTTGGGGTAGTCAAGCTACCCAAGGAGGTTGGGGTAATGGAGGTATTTTCATCAGTAATAACATCCATAAATTATTTATATTTAATTAAATACTTAATTTTTATTTTAAGGAGGTAATTGGGGAGGTAGTCTAAGTGGATATGGTGGTGGACCAATGCGAGGAAATTTTGGTAACAACAGAGCAGCCCCATATCATACAGGTCGAGGTAATATTTTTGTTGAAATATTAAATTAAATTTTTACAATAAAAAATGTATACATTTTCACACACATACTTACACACATATATATATAATTGCCTAATTTATTTCTTATAATTTGTTTTATTAATTTAAGGAGGTAGTGGTAATTTCCATCAAAATTCAAGAGGGAGGTATTAAAAGTAAGTATTGAACATAAAATTTTTAAATTGTRATTTTTAATGCTTAAAAAATTATTCCTAGATTGAATAAAATTAATACTGAGGATTGTTTTTGTTTTGCATAATGATTTTTTTTGTATCTTGTTAGGCAGGTTGCTGAAGCAAGGCTGGTAGGAATCAATAACCATCAAATTTTTCTCCTTCAACTTTTGGCTATTGAACTATTCGAATGATGTTTTTTTCAGACAAAAATTATCTGCTCTTCACATGTTGACACTTAATGCCATAAAATTATGTTAGTACAATATTTGTTTATCATATTCATTATGATTTAAAATTTAGGTAAAATAAGTTTAAAACATTTTATATATCTACTATCTCTTTCTATATATATAWAACATAAATACATATATATTTTTTTATTTAATTAATTATTGTTTTTCCAATATGATTTTATAACTTAGAACACTGGTTAATTTAAATGTAATACGTTTTATTTAATGGTGAATAATTTTTGTGTTACTATATGTTATATTAATAAAATAAAAAATACCCAGTCTTTATACAGGGACCAGAATATAATTGTTGTTGACTCAATATTTTTAATGATTATTCACAATACATTTTTTTTTAGTAGAACGAACATTCTTAAATGAATGCTTAAATATGGTAGGCATAATTTCTACTATATTGGAACAGATCGTAAGTAGTGTGCTTTGTTATGTTCTAGAATTCTGTAAAATATTAACATCATTATTTCCTCTTGTGTTTTATTATAATCATGTTAAAGTGAAATCTCTATTTATCAATGTCTTACAATTATTACTGAATATTTTCTAACAGATTTTTTTTTTTTTTAAAATCTTGGTGAAATGTGATTTTGTAACATCTTACTACTTTGAATAGTGAATTCCATAAAATAATACAGTTTTTTTTTATCACCATCGTTGTGACTTATAGAGGTTTCACTATCAATAGTTGATTAGTTATAGATTGTGGGTACAAGATATTAAATTAGGCATTTAATGCAGACCAACATATTGAGACTCCTATCAACAGCATAGGACTTAGGTCCCCCGGTTCCAAGATAGTAAGTGTCTTAGGTAGGTTTGCAATTTACAAATTATTATTAAATATAAATATACAAATTCAATTGAATAATATTTGAAATTGATCAACGATACAATAAAAATATGTTGAAAGTTACATGTTAAATATTATATTTGTCAAATGTTTGCTAATTAATGTCGTTTTTTGATTAATTTTGATTTTTAAACAAATATACAGTCATTATAATTTTGTGGGGCTAGATTAATTTATATATCTACAACTTTTAGTCATCATCATTGTGTTAAATATATGGTATAATTATATTTTTACAGTTACAAAAATAAATTTAATTTATTCTTTAGATTTGTTTTCAATTATTAGAAGCTAGTAATTGAAATACTTAAAAGATTTTATCTTTTATTATTAAATATTAAATTTCTTATGACTTAGTTTAACAATTGTTTTTTAAAGTGTCTAAAATATAACTATTGTTTTAAATTACGTTTCATAAAATTTAATTAAGATTGAATAGAAATGTTTTATTATTTAACCAATAATGTTATGGCCCCATGATATTTTTAGTGGCTGCATATTTATAAATATAATGATTCAATTATTGATTAAATGTGTATGAATACAATATTCAGTCAATGATTATGTCATAAATTCTTGTTATTATTATATGGTTGATACTACTTATATTATGTCTAGGCAAATGCTCAACTAAACAGTTTACAACATTTCAAGAAACTTGATATATAATTTACACAGGTAATTAATAAAATATTTGATTTGTGATTATTTGTTATAATTTATTATGTTTTTACAGTTTTCGGATTAAACTGATATGATTGAAAAGATGACAACTTCTGGTATTATTATGCAAAGTGAATACATGTTGGTAAGTTAAATGTTGATATTTATTGGCTTAGTCATTTTCATCATACAATTATTTTTTTCCAGATTTGCAAAAGTACTTAATAGTTAGTTCAAAATGTATGTCAGACCCCAATATGAATCCAATCATTTTACTTTGAAGTAAGTAATGTATAATACTAAGTTATTCAGCAAATAATATATTGTCMTAACTGATTGTGATTTAAGTTAAAATCAGTTTATTTTGTTTTTMTACATTAATTGTAGAAGTTAATTTAAATATTTTTTTGTCTACTGCAATTGTCCTAAATATTAATCCTAATTATTTTATTATACATACATGTTTACATTTTCTAAACGACCAATTATGTTTTTTCTTTTTAGTAAATTTGAGTAAGAGTATGATTTAAATTAAATATTTTTACAAAAAAAAGATCAAAAATTAATAGTCATGCAATTTTTTTATGAWAGTAAAAAGGACCAATTGTTACAAATATTATGATCAAACTTTTTTTCGAAACAACTGCAATAAACACTACAGTTTATATCATAGTGTTTTTGTCGTTACCTTTTAGTTTTTTTATTTATAATAACCACATTAAACAAATAGTCAAATGTTTTAAATTGTATAGGATTGATTGCTATACCATCTGGTTTATTATGTCCATAAAAACTGAATTGTATTCAGGTTAAATTAAAGTATATTTTAACACAAATAAGATGAATTCTTTCTTGATTTATAAGTACAGTATTTTAAAACTGTAATAAGGCTTATACTGTCAATAATTTTCATTTATTTTTATTCTTTAGTATTAACATAATAAATAATAAATCTTGAGAATTAAAGTCCTCCTGTTGGTCAATTTCTTCTCAAAAGTGTCATGGATTAGATTTTTAAATTATTTATTTTGAATAATGAACCTATACTTCTGTAGTTTATAGGTATAACATAATATTAGATATGTTATTGTTCTATGGTTATTTACAAATACATAATTGCTTTATGTCTACCCCTTGCGGTTTGGTAGTAACATTAAGCTGATAGCTGATAACATACTTCAGATTATACCTGTTAGAATCAATTACCTTTTTGCCTTGTAGGTTTTTTGGATTTGGATAGATGTTGAATAATTATTTTGACTATATTGTAGTACATAATAGTTTATCGAGTAGGTACATTTTATGTATCACTTGTAAATACAACCTTATTTAACACCTTTTATTGTTTCATAAATTATAGAAATTTAACGAGGTCAATTTTTTTWAATTATTTTGTATTAGTGGTTAAATATTATAGCAGATGTTAGAACAGTTTATTTACATTATTTTGTAAGAAACATTTTACATAAGTTTTTGCTAACTTTTTATACTGTATCTTGACAGGTGTTATAACTAACCATTAGAAATTATAGGTGTCCATTTTAATGGCATATGCAGTAGGTATATTTTCAAATAATTTCCTGTATAAAAAATCATTCATTTTATTTTCTCATAAATATTAACTTTTATTTATAGGTTCCTAGTTGAATTATTGATWATAATGATTATAAAATTTAAGTTGATTATTATGACTTATGAGTAACTATCTTAGATCAAATTATACAAGGTAGTAATGATATAGACATATAATTTCTAGGTATCTATATAGTTATCTACCTGTTCAAATTGAAGTATTAAAAACTTAAACCTACCTAAGTTATATTATAAGTCATAATATTATTTAAATTAAATATAACTGTCACTATATAAATTTTTGGATTAGTTWCTAAATCAGATATTTATTTAGATTTTGGAGATATGAATTAAATGGTACATCGGGGTTCAAATTTTTTTGTTGAGGAAATATTTTTTCTATGAGACTATCTAGTGTTGGAACATTTCATTATATCTATTACCAGATAGCGGTTGAATCTGGAAAAAATATAAAGATAGGCTCTTCATGAAGTTGAAAAATTAGTGTTCCAAAGCAAATTAATCTAATATTAACCTTATTGATTGGTGAATGTAAAAGGGTACGCTATAATATGAAAATAATGTAGAGTAGCTCACTCTGCCTGTGTCCTCTCATAATTCAACCACTTATCAGGGACATACTCGTAATTTCAGTTTTAACTTAAAGGGGCTTAAGAAGATGTTATACCAGCATGTGTTTTCTTCGTCTTACAAGTGCATAACAGCAATTTTTACACTCTACAGAACACATGTAGCTCTGTTAGTTTAAAATTTTGAGTGAATTGACCTCTTATAAGAATTAAAGGTAACATTATTATCTAAGGCTTTTTATTATATTTTAATTTTAAAGTGTTATGAGTATTTTAAAATTGTAAATTGTTTGTATATCTTAAAATACACATAACTTGCTTTAAAATTAAAATATAATAAAAAG